GCAGGTGTGCAGCCCACCATCCCATGTGGGAATCGAACTGGCAACCTTGTTGTTAAGCACATGCACTCTAACCAACTGAGCTATCCGGCCTCCCCCTATTCCTATTTTTATTCAAATGCCATCTTTTCCATAAGGCCTTCCCTGCCCATCCAATCTACAGCCGCATCTCTCCTTCTAACCCAGACATTTCCTATCTCCGGTCCACGCATTATTTTTCTCCTTGGCATTTATTACTATCTAACACACCATTCACTTACAAAAATTGACATCTTGTTTTCTTCCCTCTCCTCCTCCCCCCAACTAAAATGTAAGCGCCGTGAAGGCAAGAAATTTTTTACGACTATGTTTTGGCTGATTTGTGCACCACACAGTAGAGTCTGGCACAACATTGGCATGTAGTAAATATTTCTTGCATAAATGAATGTCCCATTGTTCTGTCTTCAGCAGGAGCACAATGTAATGGCATCCAGTACACATTTAAGGGGTACATCCATGCCCCAGACTGCTACCATCTCCTCTTACCCAATCCCTGCTTTCAGAGCTGGCCCCTTAAATGTCTCCTAAGCAAAAACCCGAGCGCCATGATACTCTGTATCTTTTCTCAAAAGCCTATAAAGGTACCTAATTGCATTATTATGCAACTTGCAGACTGTCATCAGTTGGCATGCATTGCTGTGCAGGAGTTCAGCAACCTTAACTCAAACTCTGACTCATTTAGACAAATACCAATCTCTACCCAGGAATTTCCATATATACTGCCAAACTAAGTTACCAAATTCCTGGTTAATTAACCTGAAAGTTACTTCCTGTGAGGTAAGTCTACCAAAAGATTCTTTTGAATCACCAAGGACAGCGCACATAGTCCCCGCCCCTCAGTGGCTACGTTTCTTCGCATCCATTCTGAATCCTCCAGGTGACGTCCACATAGGTCAGGATGCAAACTGTTCAACAGGGGAAAGGTCCTTTTAAGTAAAACCCTGTCATTTACTATCATGCAAATGTATGACCGAGCTGTTACTTAACATGACAGCTTAAAACTGGGCTCAGTGTATGCTAGAAGCCCAGCCTTGATTTTAACAAATACACAGTAAGTGGAACACGGCTGGTCTTCGAAAGTCCTGCCTTAGATTGAGGAACACTGGGCACTGAGATTTAAGATGAGATGAAGCGATATCTGTACAAAATCATCTTTTTACATCAGTTTCATTAGTTTCTTAGAATGAGGTGAATGTTTTAGAATGAAATGAGGTAAATATGTAAATAGAAGAAATATGAATGTATATTTAAAATGTTAAGGGAGTGAGAAAGATATAGGAGGAAAGAGAGAGGAGAGAGAGAAAGAGAGAGGAGAAAAAGAAGATGGAAAGAAAGAGAAGGACACACAGAGACAGAGAGACAGACAGAAAGGAGGAAAAGGCGAGGAAGGGACTGAGAATGACAGGCATCTTCCCTGAAGTGCTTGTACCTGGAATCCTGGAGTTCCTGGCAACCCAGGGTCACCTTTTCCATCAAGATCTATACCTTCTCCTTCAGCGGGAGCACCCTGGAAAATGAAGGAGTACATCGAACATAATTAAGGTCCTATTTTCAAAACCCCTTCAAATGCTTACTCAAGGTCATGCTGCTTCAAGGATAAAAGTGCCTTCCCGTATGAATGAAAAAGGGGTCATAAGCCTGACAGTCTCAGGGGGGGCCCATGGCAGCCCTGACAAGCTCAATGACCAAAAGTAGCCACACAGGATGGTCTGGTCACAAATTCCTACCTGGCAGGTCATAGTGGGTAGTCAGACCTATTGCTTCCTCAGCAAAGGTCACCTTTACCTTCAACAAGCTTTGCCCATTGTTCTAATGCATCTAGGATAACATACCTTTTCAATGTCAGAGTCATTTTCTTTTCTAGACCCCTCGAAAACACAACCACAGGCACCAGAGCACAAGACCACCAGAGCACAAGACCACAGAACCCTCGTTATCTTGTTCCCTGAATACCATCTCTATGTCCCTTAAATGTTAATTATTAGCTATCCCGTACCCACCAATGTAAAAGAAGTAAGTGTCTATCCGTTTTATTTTCTATCTAATCCTGGAGATGTCCTGCTTTCTTTCTCCCGCTTCCTGAATCTGCCACCAATGGACCTCATGTACCTTTCTTACGTTTTCTCTTTTGATTCTAACTGCATAAAAAGAACTCAAAACTGCCATTCTCCAGAGCATTTTCTCAATCCATTGAGATATTGCTTCTGAGCGTGTCCTCAAAAATTTGGCTCAGATGAACGCTTTTAAAACTTTTCTATAGATTTGGATATTCTTTCATTGACTCCTGGATATATACTTAGAGAAATGGTTTAGGATTATGTTGTTACTCCATTTTGAAGAATTCAAAGCATTTTCATATTTTCTAAAATTAGCAATTTACCATGTAAGGAAGAAAGACCCAAGGATGATAAGCCATTTCCCAAGATACCAAAATTCGTGGCAATTCCTGATCTAGAATGTGGGGCCCTGAGCATGAGCTGAGTTCTCTTCCCCTAGACTCTATTTCCTTAAAAAATGACACAAAACTTGTATTTTTTAAAAGACATATTTATGACAGCAGATAGAAGAAGTTGTTCAATAGGAATAAATATCATATCCCAATTATTCTGGTTTCTGGATTAATTATGAAATCTCATTTGTAATTACTTCTCATTACTTAATAGAAGTCTCTCTCGTGTGTACAATTAGGGATTTTCAATAATAATATGCTACAAATGACTTACCTTTTCTCCTTTCAAACCAGGAGCACCCTAGGAAAAGGAGTGACATATTAACAACTAGCAGCAAATCAAATACACAATCTCCCTGCTTTGTCCTTCTCTGCTATTCTGCCTCCTCTCCCCTGTGTATACGNCCCTTAGATGTATACATATGGCACTCAGCAGTGAGTGTTCTCAGTAACTGGAAAGCTGCCAGCTGTTTGCATTTGTCTATAGGCTTGGAAGTGCTGGCCCTTCATCTGTAAAAACAGTTCCCCAAATGGCAGAGCTACACAGAGCAGGGGTTAATGGAAGAAATGAAGAATGGAAGGGAAACCCCCTTAGAAAGAAAGATTGAGGTTAGGGCGTGTGTTTGCTGGGGGATGGAGAGAGGGTGAGGAGAATGGACAGGAATGTGTTTGGGAGTGTGCATAATTGCTCTGTAGCTTGAAAAGAACAACACACAGTCCTTTCTTGGTTACACAGGAATGAGTAATTCAATCTGATATTTGTGTAGGAGATGCCGGAGAGATATCAAGTGTGGCAAAACCAAAAGTGTGAGCTAACCAGTTTTTTTTTTAAGAAGAGTTAGATGATATTATGGGAAAGCCCCTTGTAACGAGTGAATGAAAGTAATTCACGCCAATGAGTGGCGTGGTTCGGCCAACAAAGGACCTTCCTGTGGACATGGATATTGGAATTACTCTTTAACAGTAAAGGTCACCAGTTGATTCTGTCAATTTAGTTACACAATTGGCAAATTATATTTAAAAAGAGAGAGAGGTGGATCAAGTCAGCGTACACACACCCAATAAAAAGAGAAATAAAAGAATTTGCTAGACTCCTCTCAATACGTAGGTATCTTCACAGATCCTAGAATAGCATCTTGCACATAGTAGGGATTCAATGACTGCTTNCCCCCCCCCCCACAATACTGCCCTGTCTCTCCTTCGTGCCTTCTGTAAATTTCCTGTTCTGTTCATATTTCATTCTGCAGCCCCGCTCTCCATCATGGAAGTATCCTTGCTAAGGTCTGCCATGACTTTGACATTGCTAAAACCAATGACTAAATGTCAGTTCTCATCTTACTGGATTCACAGCAGCAGCAGGCAGCTGTCTGCCTTTCCCCTTTATTGAAACCTATCTTTCCTGGTCTTCCCGAATACACTCCTCCTGGTTTCCTTCTGCCACCAGGGCCTGTCCTCCTTGACCTAGATGGTACATGCTGGAGCTCTGTAAGTCTTGGTTCTCCTTGAGTCACCCCCACTCCAGCCTCTCCTCTGCCTATTATGCAGCTCCATTCTGATGCCTTCTAAGCAAAACAAAGTCTCAAAGTGCAAACCTGAACTCATAAGGCATTTGTACATTCGTTCCCCAACCATCAGTTGAATGTTTACCATTGGCCGCCCCAGACAACCCCAATCTCATGATGGATTCCAGTCTACGGCCATTCTGGGGTAAACTACCTATACTTATACTTGATGTTGTTGATGGGGAGTTAGAAATGCAAACGTACCGGGACCCCTGGGTAGCCTGGTGTCCCCGGAAGTCCTGGAAACCCTTGCTCACCCTGGAAGACATACAGAGGTTGTCATTCTTCTTAGTTGTTCTAAAACAGTCTGTTGAGATATTTTCCCTGTTTCTCTCTTCCAACCCTGCAGTGGTAGCATCTAGACAAAGTAACAAGTTCCTTATGGTGACTGGGTCATGAGGCTGAAGGCCAGAAAACCATTATCTTACTTGGAAAGAGGGTTGGAAGTCACTGTTTCTCAAATTGCACATAAACGGCAAAAGTCTATCTAACTGCGCCAAGAACTTTTTAATTGCTGTTTCCTTGAAACTTCAGCAACTAGTTCTTTCATGGCCACCATTCTGGGGAAAAGGAGGGTGCAGTCAGGGAACAAAGGAGGTGAGGCACACTGGACAGCTCAGTCATACTTCCCAAAGACAAACTTGGCATCCTGGGCTGTAGTTTCTGATCTATAGACACTCAAAGCCTCAGAAGAAAATAACCAGTTGAGTACCCAGTTATTTTTCTGTGGGAGAACAAGAGGAAACTTCCTGAAAAGGCATAAGAAAAAAGAAAATAGGAGGGTTCCTGGTTCAAACATCACATCTCTGCCCTGAAGACACGTGCCATTGGCCTGACCAATAGACAGTCTATCCCATCTCATGGCTACTTTGACTGATTCATTCAGCAAAACATTCAGTAATCGTCTGCTGTGTAAGAAGTACACACCTTAGAACCGTTGCATCCTGGTAAACCAGCAAGGCCATAAGGTCCGGGGCGACCCGGGGTGCCCTGAAAACAGAGCAAGTTTCAAACAGCAGCCAGAACCTCCAGGCCCTGGGACCAGGTGGAGACAGTGAGGAACCCCGGGTGAGGGAAAAGTTGGGCTAAATTAGGTAGTTATTTAAATATAAATGGTTATTTAAATAATTAACTAGTAAATATAGTCATGTTAGAAAGCAATTGAAATAAAAGTCACAGCAAATAAAATGGGTTAATTAAAACAAAGGATGATCAAGTGAGATACAGGTATTTTAGATGCAACAAAAGGCCTCTTTAAAATGAAATCTCTTAACATGCTGGTATTTATTTATTTTTTTATGTTTACTGTTAGGGTTAGGTTTAGGGTTTGGGTTGAGGTGAGGGTTGGGGTTAGGGTTAGGGTTGAGTTTAGGTCTAGGTTAAGGATTTTTTCCTTTTCTTTTCAGCTTAAAAAAATAAATGTATTGGGGTGATATTGGTTAGTAAAATTATATAGGCTTCAAGTGTACATCTCCGTAACACATCATCTGTATATGGCACCGTGTGCTCGCCTCCGGAAGTCCAACCTCCCTCCGTCACCATATGCCGGACCTCCTTTACCTCCTTTATCCTCCCTCAGCCCCATTCCTCTCCGGTAACCACTATCCTGTTGTCTGTGTCTATGAGTTTGTTTTAACATGCTATTTTAAGCTGGGAGAAAAAGAAAGGAAAAAGCAGAGGGAAATGTGCACAGAGGTAACTATTTCATAATTATGTGTTATTAAATAGTTATTCTGTTCTATCTGTTCTACTCTATTCCATCCCATCCCATCCCCCCTACACCCCCACCCCCCATCCCATCCTATCCCATTCTTGTATTTCAGGAAATACAATTTGATTTGTCTGTCCTACCAGTCCACATGTATGAGATTCTACTGTGCCATTTTCATCATGTAGCAAATTTATCAGTGTCCATTTCCCTGTGCTATTGCTTTAACATCTTCATTAAAATGAGCTTCCTATTTATTTTTCCAGTGACACATTTCCCCCCCCCCTCCCCCCATTACTTACTGGAAGCCCAGGAGGACCTGAATATCCTGGTAATCCAGTTGTTCCCTAAAGTCATAGAAAATAGGAAGGGTGACAAGAAAAACACTTTAAAAACGTTCAACCTATTCACAGAAAATTATTTCCCATTCCAATAACCCCAACCTGCAAGTATAATTGGAAATGGCTAAAAAATATTTGCAAAGCACAAAAAGGTGGACAAACTTTTGAAAATCTTACATTTATATAACTTTGATCAAGAGATGGTTAAGATTGTTTGGGGTTTTTGGGTAGATTTTAAAGCATAATTTGGTGATAGTACAGTGCTCCAATCTCCCATGAACACCTTGGTTAATGGGTCCACATGTGCATATATATACATTTTGGTGTTACCACCACCCCACCCAGGCAAAGAACCTCTCCACTGACGCCCTTTCCCAGGCAATTAACAGCTACATCCACATAGGCACCACTATTTTGTCTTCTAACATTACAGATCAGTTTCACCTTTTCTTGAACTTCATCTATTGAAGTATATCATACACAACATACTCCTTTGTGACATTTGTATAACTTTTATAGTGCAGAGTTGTTGTTTTTTTGTTTTTTTAGAAGTCTTTTCATCGAACAACCAAGATGGACTGGTTGGACTACTAACCCTTACACCTTTGGGACCAGTGAAGCCTGGTAGTCCTGGAGAACCCTAGATCCAAAAGAAAAATGAAAGAAAACAGTTTGAAAATTGTCTAAAGCTTGCAGTTTTATTCACACACCCAGCAGTTTTGCGTTTGTGATTATTTCATTGTTAACATGGTTCAGTTACCTGCTTGCTTCACTGGAATGAAAATATTTATCAGAAAGGACAAAGAAAATTTCATTCAGACCCTTGCTCCTCAAAGTAAGGGTCCAACATCAGCATCACCTGGGAGCTTGTTAGAAACATAGACTCTCAAGTCCCGCCACCTCCCAGGTCCACTGATTCATAATCTGCATTTCAACAAGATTCGATGATGATTCTTGTTTACATTAGTGTCTGAGAGTTCTGCTGTAGAAGCCCCACTTTAGCCAGGCAGCTGCTGAGGTCTGATAAGGATGAGTGACAATTATAATGGTGGATGGGCATGGCTGCCAACATTTCTGTGCATGGGAAATACTTTAGTAACATAATGTACCTGATATGCACACATAAATAAACAGTACAGTAAGGACTGCCTGAACCACAGATAAACTTGCCTTGGGCACATAATAGATATAGTTTTGAGATCCTGTTTATTGGAGAATAACCTTAAGTGAAGGCTATTTTAAGGAGGCCACTGGGTATAAAAATTCCATTGTCCAAAAGCTGTTTTCATCATTCCTGAGAGTTTCAGACTGTTTTGGATTTTTTGATTATTTGAGAAAAGGGTTGTTACAGAGTTTTCTGAGGTTGCAGTGTCAAGGCCAGTCAGCCTTTTGTGAGTGAGGTGGAATTCCTGGATGTGTGACCATGTCCCCCTTCTCTGCAGGACGCTATTTGTGTTTGCAGAAGGCAGAAGAGTGATGTGCAGGTTTTACTTCTCCATCGTAAATTTTCTCACGCAAAAAATATTTAAAAGTTTATAAATTGGAAAAGATTTTGTGGTCAGGTTTTAAAAGTCTTTGTCTGCCTTTGATCAAATGATCTCCTGTGGCTACATCTATAAGCTACGCTTTAAAATATGAACTCCATGATAACACGGCACAGAGAGTGTCCGGATCAGCTTTATGGAATACCTGCACATCATGTAACCCAACCGGAGCACCAGGCACTTACAACTTCCATTTTAATTCATTGCTGACATCGCCAAAGAAATGCCGAGGCAACAGGAAGAGGGGGGTATAGAGAGCAAAACAAAAAGGAACAGGTTTTTATTAAGCGGATCTGAAGTCCAGGGTTAAAGTGACAAATTCATTCTACCGATGAAGTGGAGAAAAATCTGAGGTCACTTTCTGGGGGTAGGGAAGAGGATGTTCAGACACTGAATGTGTCTGAATTTGGACACTGAATGTCCAGAATCAAAATGACTTTTTAAAAATTAGGATCAGAAGAAGGAGAAATAGAGAAACAGAATGCATGCAGGAATGGGATAGATGGGAAATGGTAGAATTCTTGGAAAACAAAAACCTTTTCATTTTTACTCAAAAACTGTAGGTGTGGGGTTTGTTTCTTTGGTTACAGGCATTTCATCCTGGCATCATGTAAAAGCAGGTTGGGATGCGGACTCTGCCACCTATTAGCTGTGTGACTCAGGACAAATTACTTAAATGCTCTGAGTGTCGGTGTCCTCGTCCATAACGTGGAGATAATGATGGGAACTGAATTATGAGTCCCCAGAGTCATGATTTATGGAATCACTGTGAGGAGTAAATGAGACCCAATCAGGAATACATGGCCCAATGCCGGATGCAGAGTAAATTTGTGGTAAATATTGCCTTTGATGACCATTCCAATATTCTATACAATGTTTATGAAATTTAAAAAGACTGTGTGGGGATCCACTAGGATTGTCCTTCATAACTTATTAGCTCATAACTTGCTGGAGGTCAGCAGTCAGGGGAGTGGATGTGTGAGTGCATGAGAGCCCAGGTGTACGTCTGGCTAATGTCCATGGCATGGGAGAGCCATCAGCAAATCTAGTGGTTATGCAGTTCTTTAGCAAATCCTCTA